AACGACGCTAACTTTTTTGCTAAGATTATCTATAAAACTTCTGTAGAGGTGCAAAATTCAAAATAAATTCATTAGTGGGTACTATTAATAAAAGTTAATATGTCTCATGTACCTACTCCTACAAATTTGAAGTACATTTCTACATTCTAAGTGGCAAGAATAAATATCGAAAGTTTATGCGAACTCTTGAATTTACACTTATTATCGAAGTTTTCACTCATGCAGAGAGTATATAATTAAATTGTACAGAGTGAGACACTAAGGGCGCGGTCCTCGATATATCATTAATTATTATTAGAGATAGAAAAACTTAATTTCATTTATACCACAATAAAGCGCATAAGATACTGTAAGATAGATTTTAAAAATAACCCTATTGCGATATTTTATGTGAACCGTTCCATTGCTAAAAAAATTGGTCGAAAGTTATTTCGACAGGACTTCCTTCGTCCCCGAAATGAAGTGCCACAAATCCCGCTTCTTTGAAAAATAAAAAAAAAAAGATTTTGTGAATTTGTATTCAATAAAACAAATAGCTACAAGAGTATGCTACTTTATAAAATTTATTACAAACAATTTTGAGATGTCATGAGCATGACATTGATAGGGAGATTGGGCAAATTTTGGTTAGCGTTTTACCATCCACACGATATTCCTGACATACATATAAAATACAATCGGTCCGGTAGTTTTAGAGATTATCTCCCTATTAAAAATCTGAATTTTATTTTGAATGTTATTATTATAGGTAATCCTTACCTTATCATTATTTCTTTGTTATAAAAACGCGCGTATTCTGACATTTTCGAGAAAATGGAGTGGCTTGTTCTTAATTTGATCAATAATAAATTGAATGATTTTTTTTTGAGTCACCCTGTATAAACAAATCTAAATAAATTGATTCAGTCATTAATTTTTTTCAGGCACCCCGTATAAGCAAATCTCAAAAATATTAATGCAGTGATAAATCACAAGTAGACTCATCATACTTTGCACATTTAAGATTTTTTCAGCAAAATTTTGGGGTGGCGTCATCAATTTTTTAGGGGGAATAAGCAAATACATTTTGATCAAAAATTGACCATGATTATCATAACTGTAAAACATCTGCAAGATTTCAAAGCATTCGGTGTTGCAGCTTCCAAATTAAATTACAAAATGTCGTTTCATAATTTTGATTTTGTTTCCAAAAATCTGGACATTTCGTGTGAAAACTTAATTCAGAGTCAGACACAGGACTATGTTATTTTATACAATTTAAAACCCATTTACTATGTACAATTTTGAAGTGACGTCATCACATTATTGGTGGGGATGATTAAACAAATTTTGGTTAGCGTTTCACCATCTACATGATATTTCTAATATAAATACAAAATTTGACAACAATGGGACCAGTACTTTCGAAGATTATCTGTCTTATAAAAATCCGTGATGGCAGGACAGACAGACGAAAACGGGAGACCTATTTCTTCGTCCTCTGGGGGTCATGAAAGGTTGAGAAAATGCAAAAGTAGAGAGTCGGCCAACGCACTCGATTACAATACGTCTTTTGCTTACGCTCGGGAAGTAAAAATTCAAGAAAATTGGAATAATGTGGCAACGTCGCAGCGGAATGTCAAATAAAATTGTGGTTATAACGCCTAAGAAGACGTCAATCAAAATAGTTGTTATAGTTTCGGAGATTTCCAATTTAATACTACATGTACTAAAACATCACCAATAGATAGAATAGACGATACATGACACTCGACGGTTGGAAAAACGGTATCTGCATTTTCGTATTCTACAAACTGCGAAACCTCGAGAAAACATGAAAACAGACAATTATCAAAATAACCTTGTTATACTATACAATACTTCCTTAAGCGAATTATTTTGTATCTGTTGTAGTCTGCCTGAACGTTAGTTACATTAGCTGGCATCTGAATTCAAAGCTTAATAGGTTCCCTCACCAAGGGATTGCGTATAGGTATATCTAATTTCTGTCTCAACTTTACTCATCTTGATATACTAATTTATGTCAACTTAGCAGCACTTATAGGTTAAAGTCAAAGTACATGTCTATTTTCATTAATGTCAGCCATAAAGGTGGTTTATGCTGACAAGTCAGAAGCTTTAATTTCAGTACCACTGGAAAATATGTAATAAGTATATAATATAAATCTTGTAACAACCAAGCTCGTTACATTATATAGTGGTACTATTTGTTTTGTTACGCAAGTTTACTACAATATACTTTAATGTATAATTAAATTTAATGGTAACTTTGGACCATATTTTGTTAATATAACCAGCAACCTAGGCTTAGGGCACAGTGGGAAAATATAGTTTGACATCAGATACTTTTTTACTTAGTGCTGTTTTTTTATTAATTTTGTGTTGTAATTTTGCATCAAAACGACAAACAATTATCTCAACTCTTTTGTAAAATATCGGTTTTCTTAACAGTTATAAATTTCTGCACGACATAGTTTAAAGAATGTTTAACCATTTTTTATTTTTTATTATATTTAATACTAAGTTTGGCATTATTTATATCATATTTGAACAGTTATTGGTATTTTCTGTTTTACCTTCTGTCATCGCGTATGCCTAATTCTAAATTTCAACATTGAAATCAGTCAGATTTGAAGTGCACAGGTTGCCATGCACTTCTTTTTTGGACATTGAATCTGTCGTTTTTATAAATGAGCATAAACTACTTTTTTAAAATATTAAATCATTTAAAAACGCACTTAGTTCCTATCTACGAACGTGAAAAACAATTTATTTTTAATAACACGATGTTGATCGATTTTTCGCAATTCTATCAATTCTATAAATTAAACAAATCTGAAACTTAAAGTATGCGTATTCTTATATTCTCTTAATATTTTTATTTTGAAGCTACTAGAAAATTTATTTCAGGTTTGGAAAAAACTCCGAAAAAGCTACTGTTTTGTCTTGTTTCATGGAAGAAAAAATACAACTTAATGAAGCTCAATATTCTCTTGATTTTGCAACTATAAAACTAGTGCAATTTTCAAATTGAGAATGAATTTTCTTCGTAAATGACATAAGACTAGTAATCCTATAGTCCATATTTGCAATAAACATTTTTAAGAAAACAGTCGTTTACCTATTTCACACTGTCTGTTAGATAATGTTCTTTGAATTGGGAATTCTAATTAATTTATACCGGAGCTTAAAAATTAGATTCGCCTGGAAATGTGAAAGGTGGTTAAATATGGCTTCCCTTTTCAGGGCTATGGTTCTCAGAAATTGAAGATGATTTTGATTATAAAAATTTAATATTAATTTTCCTTTCAGTAGTTATTAAGAAGTTATTTTAAATATATGTAATGGATTGAAAACACGTCTTTTCGTATGCTCACTGTAATATTAGTTAATTCTGAACAACTGAAGCCACTCGATAAAATAAATTAGGAGTTTATGCAGGAATTTTTGAACGCTGCTAAGCTGTGTAAACAGTTAAAGAAAAAACAATAATAAAAGAAAATTGCCGAAACACACATCGCAGAATGTATTTCTCAGTAAAGATTTATTTAATCATTTTGTGAGATGCCGCCATCAACTTTCTAGATTGAATGAAATTGTTAGTGAAATTTCTCTAATCTCTAGACTGGTGTTAGTCCTTTACAAAATTTCCAAGAAAGGTGTTATAGACTGTCAGATAAACTGTAAACTGTTATTTTATTATGGCAAAACGTCATGGGTTATGACAGAATGTAACTGAACTAGATTGTTAATGTTACAGTAGAAAAGTTACGAAGAGCTTGATCTGTAAAGGTGTTTACAGTTCGTATCAGAGTGAGTAGTAATATCATAAAAAACTGCTATTCATAATGAAATAATGGTAATTGATAACCATAGACCGGACTAGTGCGGGTGACCTTCAAACTGTCCGTAGGTTTGTGTTCTCGCTGCATTTAGTGATGGTTTGGTTACAATTTAAATAACTAGGCCTAAATTAATGCTACGTAGATCCGTTAATGATAATTACTATTGTCTCAAAATTTCCGCCCCCTGGACCGAGTTTGTAATGCGATCTTAGCTTTTTAATCTACTGTATAGTACAGACGGCGCTGGATATGCGTGAATTCGAAGGAAAAAGTAAGTAATCATTTTTTCTACAGTACCTAGCTACCGTTAGCCACCCGAAGTTTAAGTGGTTAAATGGTTTAAGCATTACGACGGGAGATTCAAATGCGCTGCTGCAATAGCAGTTTGTCATTTGCTCGCACTCCGCAGGTCTATGCGGTGATAACATTGTGATGTCCTTATGTAACTAATGCTAAATGTTGTTATCCAGTGCGTTGTCAAACGAAGAGATTAAAAACGAATCACATGGATAATGGTTCCCTGCTTAATTACTTTGGAATTTTTTTTTATTTTTGTCACTGCTAAATCTCTGAAGTGTACTACAGTTGTAATTTCGAAGTTATGCACACATTATTTTAGTAATTTACACAACTTGTTCGGGATAGCCTGTTTCTATCTTAGCTTAATTATAAAAATACTAAAAAGTAGAGTAGTTTTTACTAACATCTAGGCTACCGGTTTCAAGTTAACACAGTGCCCAATGTTTGCACGGTGACATTGGCACTGTGTTCCTGGTGCGACTATACCCACATCTCCTCTTTATACGTAATAATAATAACATATGTATTACACTACGAAGAAAGCATGGTGGTATTGAGAAAAAAAAAAATAAATAAAAATAAAACAGTCTGTTTTCAACTTGTACTTCTTGATTATAACAGAAACAAAAAACCGTAAAGTATGAACACAACATTTTTTTTATACTTTTTCTTTAATGTGTTAGACAGCTAATAAAAAAAATAAATAAGTTAATGTCAATTTTGCATTAAGAAAGTTGCAATTGTATTGTTCTTTCATTTTTAATCGTCAGTTATGAAAAGCCTAGTTTAATGTGCGCGGGTTGCACCGATCGAAGATGACCCACCTCACGCGCGTGCTCTGTGGGTTGCCTAAAAATAGATCAAATGGCGCATCGCGTCGCCAGCAAAGTTATTCAACAGTTACTGACATAAGTAGCACGCAAAACGAGCGAAAATTGTGTTTATAAACAAGTAAGTAGCCATTATATTCGAATTTCAACAACGTTTAATCGTTATTCATGAAAAACACTATCGCCTTAATGGTCGTTCGTGATGCAATTGTGACAGTTAAACTTAACCTTACTTTCTTGCTTCAGAAGACCCAGAAAACGAAACCATGAGCGATGAGCCCGTTATGGCAACCAACGACGACGCCAGCGAGTGCAAGAGGGGCGCCGTCCAGTTGGGATACTGGCAAGATAACTATATTCCTTACTTTGTCCGCCAAATTGAGAAGAGAGCCCCAGAAATCAACCGGGGTTACTACGCCCGAGTGAAGGGCGTAGAGCGTTTTATAAAGACCTTTTTAAAGAAGGCAGGGTCCTCTTCGCAGATAGTAAACTTGGGGGCTGGCTTTGACACTTTGTATTGGAGACTGAAAGACCAAGGCGTCTATATGTCGAATTATGTCGAAATTGATTTCCCGACTGTCACAGCTCGAAAATGTTACGCAATAAAACGGAACAAGCAATTGTTGGAGCGCATTCACGAACAAGACGGCGAGGTTAAACTCAGCGCCACTGATTTACACGCTGGAAATTACCATTGCATAGGGGCTGATCTGAGGAACATATCACAACTCGAGATGAAGTTGCAGCAGGCTGAAGTTAGTTTTGCTAATCCCACATTGTTTATTGCAGAGTGTGTTTTAGTGTACATTGAAAATGATTGTGTTAACAGATTGTTAGGATGGATTGCAAGTAAGTTTAAGTCGGCTCTGTTTGTTAATTATGAGATGTGTAATATGAATGATACTTTTGGGGATGTTATGTTGGGGAATTTGAGGGCCAGAGGGTGCACTTTGGCGGGGATATCGTTTTGTAAGAATTTAGAAACACAGAAAAGTAGGTTTATAAGTAACAATTGGCAGGGTGCCAAAGCTTGGGACATGGTACAAATTTATTATGACCTGCCTGCAGCTGAGAGGCAGCGCATAGAGAAAATAGAATTTTTGGATGAACAAGAATTGCTCATTCAACTTTTTCAACATTACTGCATATGTGTTGGGTGGTTGGGAACAGAGTTTGCTGATATTAGTTGTAACGGTGGAGACTAATAGTTTTAAATTTTATCTTTGTGGTCAAACCCTTAACGTTTTAATTTAATGTAAACAAGCTCTGTGATATTTTGAAAAAAATATAGCTTTACCTTAAGGCTAGTTTTCACACAAATGAGCAAATTGCGAACGATATTTTGAAATTAATGTACTTTAATTTAAAATAAAAGGATGTATACTTCATGGTTGACATTTTTTTGTGAAAATCTCGTTGAGATTCTTGTATGGAAACTTAGCTTTAGTGTTTGTACTGTAATAGAATGTGAATGTATTTCATTGTAATCATCCCTGAAAATTTGTGAATATATTGCTTTTTATTTAAAATGTGATACTTTTTAGTATTAATTTCATGTAATGATTTATTAAATTTATTTGTTGAAACGCGTTTTTTATGTCAACCACCTGTTTTTGCCGCATTGATAACCACGCGAAGGAAGTGTTAGCGGTTCAGTTCAACTGTTGTGTCATATTTTATGATGATCCGCACTATTTCGAAGCACAGCGCAATAAAAGTGCAATTTGTCTTAAAAAAAAAACAAAATCACTAATGTTTATTTTAACCAAACAGCCATAAATCGTAAAAAAAAGCGTAAAGGAAAAATACAAGCACAGGTCGTGTGGCTTCAGTGCTTTAAATTATACCTCATGTTTATTCAAATATAATTGTTTTGGATTAGCTTAGATTTTGATGAACCTGACGCTCACAATCAGTTGAAGGTGGAGTTAAAAACTTTTTGATTGATCACGTTAAACGATGAGTTGTATATATTTACCTTGTATATTCAAAATTCTGCTATTCAAATTTCGTTACTATTTTTGCAACATGGTATAATATCTAATCTTTGGAACTGCTAAACCCATTACTTCTAAATGGTGTAATCTTAGATTATCTTGAAGATGGTTAAATATTTAACACAATTTGTCTATTATTAATCCTCCCAGAAAAGTGAAAGACGCCATACCGTAATATTGATAATTAAGTGTTTTATGTGAAACATATTTTTAATCTGTAAGTATATGTAAGCTGTCCAAAAGAAACGTCTGAACTATCAAATTTTACAATTTTCTCATATAACTGCATACCTTGAATGTGTAAAAAATCAATTTAATTTTTTCGAAATTTTTGGATTGCAGTTATTAGCGTTAATCTGTGCGCACTAAATTAGTAAGAATAAAAGAAGACACAACCAGAAATATTTGATTAAAACCATCTTTTTGACATGCATGCGGTATTTGTTAAGCGTTGAAAACAAAAGAAGAAATAGAAAATTGAACCAGTATATTTGATACACATTTCCAAATTTTGAAAAATTTTTGCGTTTATGTTTTATTTTTCAAATCAAAGAACTGTCCTGTTTTTCGAAGTACATTCAAATTGTTGTTATGATATTAAAAAAAAAAAAAAATAATAACAACTAAAACTTTGGTGTGTTAAACTGGTTCAGTTTTCAATCTCGATCGTATTTACAAAACATTTTGTGGGCTATTACTCAGATATTTTTGAAGATTTTGGCATTTCACGGTAGGATGATGTGAAAAATATGTGGTCAAAATTTGAAATTAGTCTAACTCAGTAAAAAAAGCATCATGAGATCGATCAAACTGCGTTGATTTAAATTTGGAACATGGAAAATAAATAAAGTTTATTTTAATATCTAAAAATTGTTAATGTTTAATAATTAATATAGTTATAAGAAACAATACAATGCGAAGAAATAAACACCTTACATTAAAAAACGATATTTTTTAATAATGTAGAACATAAAACATTAAAGGATGTTGGAAACATATACAAGGCTATCATAAATGATTCTAACAGTGGACACTGCTATATTATGTTTCGCCTCTTTCGCAACGAAAGTTCAAATGACAATCATTCTGACATATGTTTGACATATTAACTATATTAAATTATAACTTTTCAAATGTCTACTATTAGGTACTAAGAAGTGGCAAATCTGTAATATTTATAAATTTCACAGGTCACCGGATGTAAGACACATCGATGAAAGTTCTGTATATGTACAAAACAAAAATTATGTATGTACTTACAAAAAAATAAAAACAATTATAGCTTATTACTTATTATGTTTAATAATAAAAATAAGTAATCAAAATCACTATCGAGTTCATTTCACGATCTTGTTGATCGGATAAAACTGTTGGTTGTGTTCTCTCAATTTCTACTTTCTTGCATTACATTTTCAAAAGTCCTGTTTGCTGTCTGTTCTGTGGCCAGTATTTTCGAATGTGTATATTTTGTAGCTTCACGTGTTTTCTCTGTCAACTGTCCAATAGGAAATAAAGCTGGAGAAAGAATAACGGTCCTATGAACGAAAATTTTATGTACCGTCATACCGTTGAGCCATCCATATGCGTCTACAAACACACTTTCGCTTTTTCAACGGCGTATGCGTTGAATTCCTTTAACTTTATTTCCTCTTCGCAAGAAATTGCTTTTAAAATCATAAAATCTATAAATTAATGTTTCCAATGTTTCGCCAACTTCCGCTGAAACTTTGGAGTTCTTGAAAAATCTTGTTGCAGTGTTTTCATCATTAGGTTTCGCTCCCTCCGCCCGCGGTTGGTCCACAATCAATCTTAGTTTGCTGCGAAATGAATCCTGATTTTTTTGCGTGGTTCTGCGTCTTGTCAACGGTTTTAACTCGTCATTTTTTGATGTTTAAACGGCAAGCGACTTGCAAAAGACATTCAGAAAACCTGATCCACGCATGTAAAGTAAACAAACTAATTTCAGATGTTTGCTTGCTACCTGCTGGTGTCAATTTTTCGTTATTTTGGGCAGGGTTTGTCAGTTCGACTACCAAACAGACATAATCCTTTTGACTGCAACTCAGTGGATTAGGAGTACCGGTCAGTTCGGCTAGCCCTGATATTATAAGGGTTGGGCGTGGGGACTACCAATCAGTTCGACTGCCACTGAGAGCTAGGGTTGGGCGGAGGATATATAAACTGTAAATACTGTGGGAAAGCAGAGAAAAATGTTGTGCCTCGGTGGGATTCGAACCCACGTCTCCACGCTCTCCGGGCTGGTATGCTAACCGCTACACCACAAGACAACTTATCTTTACTCTGCTTTACCCGCGTGTTATTGTGCCGCCACAGTACTCCCCCCCCCAGCGACACAGCGCGCGGTCGTGCTGGGGTGCGAAGGAGATAGTTGCTGGCGTCGCTCCTACCACTCTTACGGTCGTTGTTCGAACCCTGGCGGTGCTGCGGACCCCGAACACAGCGGGCACAGGGCGGTGGCAGAAGGATGTTGCGTGCGCGTTGCCTGTCGGAGGTCACCAATGTGGGAAAGCAGAGAAAAATGTTGTGCCTCGGTGGGATTCGAACCCACGTCTCCACGCTCTCCGGGCTGGTATGCTAACCGCTACACCACAAGACAACTTATCTTTACTCTGCTTTACCCGCGTGTTATTGTGCCGCCACAATACTATAGTTAAGTTATAGTTATAATTCATTAGTCCCTTGCTTATTGATAATATATTTTCGCCTTCAGTTCTTAGAACCCGAAGATGTGAGTGATTTTTTAAATAATGAATTACACACTGTGCTCGTCCATAGTAGAGTTGTCCAGTTTAGAGATATGACAATTATTGCGGTGATGTTGCGGTGTTTCCACCTTCATTTTGGGCTCCTGGCTACAGCTTTCCACATAGAACAATCAATGCTGGCGAATCATTTCATTATAGGTGCAATTCTTCGTTCTATGGAGGTCACCCTACTGTATCTCAGTTTATAAATGTACTCCTTAATTTTCGGACAGAAAATTATGTTAACTAATTATCAATAGACCAAGAAAAAATGTTCAACACAAAATTTACTTCATATCACAAAAAAAAAATGACGAATTTGTCACGTTTGTACGAAAGTTGCTTTCGCTTCTTTTGTCTAAATGTATAATAAATATGTTTGTCTCCATCTTCCCCTTTTACTTAATCCTTCATATCGAATACCGTGAACAAACTGACTGGTGTATTTTACAACCACCCGTTGCCGTGGTCGAACTGACATACCATTTTGAGAGTAGTTTCACAAATGTGGGGAATTTGGGTTAACATTTCTGTGAACGCTATTGAAACTTTACCATTAATACATCTATAACTTGAAGTTCATTTTTATTTTTAGAAATGTAGGTACTTTGGTGGTACAAGGTTTTTTACTTGTTTTTTCACTAGTAGTGTAGAAATGCACCGTTATCAATTTATCATGCTTGCCTTGAGTTGTGAAATTGTTTTTCTCTACCAAAATGATAACTAAATTTGATCAAGATTAATAATGGAAGTGAACTAATTCATTATTGACGAAGGTCTATAATAAAGCCTGAGGTTATGTAATACTTGACAATTGGCCATTATTACCAGATTTGTGAACTTACTTTCATGAGGAATGTAAAAGTGCTAACTGCCATAATAGAATCACGGAAAGACTACATAGTTCACTAGCTGACATATTTCGTAAAAAAATTAAAAGATATAAATTAATTCACGATTTGAAATTACAAACCTCATTACAAACCAACTTTTCAAATGTTGAAAAATAATGATGTCAGTGATGTTATGTTACTTTTAATAAATTGGGTGTGTTCTGTAGTGCGCTACTAGTGAAAAAAAATAGTATATACGCCACGGTAGTGAAGAGCTCACGATTATAGTATCCTTCGATGCTTCGTGTCTCGGGCTCTAATCTGCGTTCGGTCTATAGTGATTGTTTTCACTACCTTGGCATATCATGTATGCACTATTTTCCACATAATTTAGTTCTTTATGTGTTATTTTTACCCTTTCTTTTGCGATCTGAAACTTAATAGGGGGACAATCTTGTGGGAGCAGGACAGGGATTTTGCCAAATAATGTGTTTTTCGTAATCCAGCTTACTATATGTATATTTGACTCGGTCAATCCAGGATATGTATATTATTATTCTGTAGCCATGCTTTAACCCTCTGTGACGTATCCACGGGGCCGTTGTCTTGCTGAAATATAAAATTTTGATTAGGATAGACTCTTGTCACAGAAGGGAGCATAACGTTTTCGAGAATATTAATATAGACGTCGCTATTTAGCCGACCTTCCACATGCAGCATTAACCCAGGATTTACGCTGAAATCCATGCCCACATGTTTATAGCAATACGTCCACTTCGTTCAATCGAGTTCATAACGGGAGTTTCGTGGCCTATAAACTCGCACTGGAGCATTTGGACACGATTAAAATATTTTTTTTTGTCCGAGAACAGTACTCTGCTTCAAAATTCATTGTCGTGTACCAAAGTTTGCAACGCGAACCCGACTCTGGCTTCCTTGTGCTGATGAGTTAATTTCAATTTTCGAGCTGCCGCGTATGCCAGCTATCCTCAAACAAGACTAGCAGTTTTTGCTAATTACAGTTGCTTCAGCAGCATTGCTAAAAGGGCTCTCTGATTATATCAAGCAAAGCTTCGTTTTCGTCAGGTGTAGAAACGAGATGTCCCCCTGATTATGGACGACGTTCTACAGTCCGCTCTCGTTTCCACTTCTGCACGATCAAATTCACCGTGCTTTTTTGAATCCGCAAAGTCACGGAGACTTGCTGCTCAATCATAATGACGGTAAAGGTGCATTTACACTGACATTTTTTGAAATGACAAGAACAGACTGTCCAGGATTCTATGTCCCTCATAGTACTAGAATGTATAACAAACATATCATTGTCCGGCTGCCGTGATCTTTCACTTTTGAATTTTGGTTTTTGTTTTTTCGGTACTACTGATACCTTCACAGTCAAATTTAAACACAATGAAAATGTTTCCATTTATACGTTCTAAAATCCGTGATGCTATACGTCAAGCAACGACGGTAAATGTATTTTGATTTTATGTCAGTGATTTTCTGGCTTTGGCGATAATATCGGGTCTTGGCATTGACTAACCTGTTACAACTAGGATAAACGTTATAGGTTCGAGTTTGTTTGTTCTAGCCCCAATTAAATGAGATTGACGTTTTGTTACCAGTTCTTCGCTGATTCCTTCACATCCCAATAATAATTTCAACTTATATTAAATGTGAAATGTTTCCATTTATAGATTCCAAAATCCGTGATGTTAACATGGTCAACGACGGGAATGCATTTTTGAGTATATCAGAGACTTCTTGACTTTGGGGATAATATCTGGTCTTAGCACTCACTAATGGAAACTGAAAGATTTCGGAGGCCAGATATTCTTTGTTTTTTGACTAATAATTTGGTTGTGAAAAAATTCTCGCAACGTTATTATTGTGGTCGCAGCCGAATGTGCGATAGCCTTGTTGAAAATAATCTACTTCCATTGTATTGTCATAAAACTGTGGGATAAAACCGGCCAAAATTGTTGCTGATATTTAACAGCGGTTCAGTTATTTGCAAAACAGAGGACTAAAATTATTATTAATTAAACCATAATCGAACAGAATATTTTGAATATTTTAATTCTTATTTTATCGTTATTATACATATAAAGACGTGCGTATTCATTCACACAGTTTTAAGAAAATGGGGTGACTGACTCGTTCTTAATTTGACCAAAAAAAAATTTGTGATGACCTCACCAACATGGATAATACTAGTCATAGCACAAAAGAAAAGTAGTTACAGTGGATTAGCAGTGCAGGAAAAAAAAGGGAAGAGTCAAAATTCAGCATCGAACCCACGACCGAATATCGCCGCTTTGCCGATAAAGGCACTGACCCACTGAGCCATGATGAGTTCTATTCTGTGGTGGTAATACAACGTTATTATGCGATTGTTTTTGCGAAAATTTGAACGTTTAACGAAAAAATTGAACGCGGATTCGTATAGTACAAGTATAGGAGTATAATTTTATATAATATTAAAATTATTTTAAAATACGGTTCATTGAGATGACGTCATCAAATTATTGATGGAGAAGATTACCCAAATTCTGGTTGGCATTTAACAAGCATCTACATGATATTTCTAACATACATACAAAATTTGACAACAAACGGTCGAGCAGTTTCGAAGATTACATGTCTAATAAAAATGGATACAGACACCAGACAGACAGACAGACAGACAGA